CAGTGTAATATATTATTCATCACTAAAAGGAAATGAGCTATTAAGTCATGGAAAGATGTGGAGGAATCTTAAATGCATATTACTAAGACAAAGAAGGCAATCAGGAAAAGCTACAGTATGTATGATTCCAACTATATCACATTCTGGAAAAGACAAAGCTATGGGGATCCTAAAAGCATCACTGATTGCCAGGGGTTTTGGTATGGATGAATAGAAGGAGTACAGAGAATTTTTAGGACAGGGAAGATACTCTGTATGACACTGTAATGGCAGATAGGTATTATACTACATATACTACATATTGTAAGGATTTGTCCAAACCATAGAATGTATAATACCAAGAGAGAACTGCAATATACGTTATGGGGTGATCATGATGTGTAAATGTATGTTCTTCACTTGTAACAAATGTACCGCTCTGGTGAGGGTTATTGATAATGGAGCAGCCTATGCATGTGTGGAGGCAAAGTGTATATGGGAAATCTCTGTACCTTCCTCTCAGTTTTACTGTAAATGTAACAGTGCTCTGAAAACATTAAGTCTTTAAAAAATACATTCTTTAGCGTTCAGTTACAGAACAGGGTTTGCTACTTTGTGAAACCCCTCTTTGTGTTTAGTTTTGTTGGGCCTGGAAGGGAAAATCTAGAAGGGGGTCTGGCAGACAGTGCATGCTCCTGGTGCTTGTGCGGTAGGGGAGGAGGAAGGGTCTGGATAGAGGGAACAGAGCCGTCAGGGTACCAGTACATGCCGTCAGGATACCAGTGAGCCTGTAGATGGGATCCAGGGCTCAAGCCAGATGAGAAGCAAATATGGGGTTTTTCTTGTTTTTGAGTCCTGACTGAAGTTGGGGAGGGGTAGGAGAGAGATCATTGTTCTTTCTTACTCAGTTTATTCTCCCTAAAACCGGCTGAAATGGAGAAAAAGAGTATAGGTTGGAGAAAAATAACAAGTTAGAAAAGAATCTATTAAGTTATCATAGGACTTCTGTCAAGATAGCTATCCGCCTTTGCATCCTCTCCTCTGACTCATCTAGAAGGATCTTAAATCATCAGAAAGGTTAGTCAGAAGGATTCATTAGGCTTTATCATAATCTTAGCATATTTGATCAGATGGTTCAAATGTGTATAATTTTTAATTTGGTAAGCAATTTATTTTCTTGACTCAAACCAGTGGTGTTATAATATTCATATGATCTGAGATAATATAAAGCTGATTTGAAGTTATTTCCTCAACTAGAATCTTTATAGTCAAATAATTTCTGCTGAAAACATAAATTATAAATATCTAAATTATCTACATAGGTTAGAAATTCATAACAGCTACTGAAAAAATGATTTCAATACCATTAGAATTCAGCATTAATAACAGATTAAAGTACTATTTCATTACAGGTTGAACCTCCAAGAAGGTGCTTCTTTCTAGCTGACTTGAAGTGCATTTTTGTTAGAGCTCGGCTCTGTATGTTTTGCTTATATATAAGCACCTCCCATTGCCTTTGACTATTTTCTTTTTAAGATTTTATTTATTTATTTGACAGACAGAGATCACAAGTAGGCAGAGAAGCAGGCAGAGAGAGAGGAGGAAGCAGGCTCCCCGCTGAGCAGAGAGCCTGACGCAGGGCTCAATCCCAGAACCCTGGGATCATGACCTGAGCTGAAGGCAGAGGCTTTAACCCGCTGAGCCACCCAGGCGCCCTGTCTTTGACTATTTTTTAAGATGGAAATCTTTCTCTTTTTTGCCATTATATTTCAGTGTTTTTGCTTATGTAATTTAATATTCTACCAACTAGAAAACATATTTTCTTTTAAATGGAAATGGCTATTTTTTCCCTTATTTTTTAGTACTTATTTAATAGTACTACGTGTTTGGATTTTAAAAAAATGTTAGAAAATGTAGAAAACTATAAAAATGAAAAAATTCTGTAATCCTATCCAGAAATAGTTGTTTTATTGTATATCCATCTAGGCATTTTTCTATGCACAAAACACAGGTTTGTTTTTTTTTAAGATTTTATTTTATTTATTTGACACAGAGAGATAGAGATCACAAGTAGGCAGAGAGGCAGACGAGGGGGCGGGAAGCAGGCTCCCTGCTGAGCAGAGAGCCCGACTCAGGGCTCGATCCCAGGACCCTCAGATCATGACCTGAGCCGAAGGCAGAGGCTTGACCCACTGAGTCACCCAGTTTCCCCCAAAACACAGTTTTAAATATAAAAATGTAGTCCTGTTGTACATGCTGCTCTATAGTGTGCTTTTTTTCCTATTTTACATTGAATTATGGACATTTTTATATGTTTATAAATTCTGATTACATTTTTACTTTTAATAGCTGCATAAATTCCATTATAGGTATGCCATATTTTTTGAAGTAGTTTTTCTGTTGATGGTGATCATTTAAGTTTGATTTTTCTTGAAAAAGAGCCACATGAATAGATTGGAAAGATTTCCCTCAGGTATGATTTAGTTAAAAAGGGAAGATGCAAAAATGTATTAATAATATGATTTCCGTGTTAGCAAAACAATAATAATCTATATGTGTATATTTGTGTAAGTATAGAAGAATAAGTGTGGATGAAAATACAGCAAGGTTAAAGCATAATTCAAGTATATATTCTAGATCTAGGATATACAGAAAGGGTACTGCTATAGGTGGATAAGGGAGGAAAAGATATTAAGGGAAATAAACTCAAAAGTAAAAGGGAAACATTGCTGGGGTGGCTGGCTGGCTCAGTCGGTGGAGTTGCAACTCTTGATCTTGGGGTTGTGAGTTCGAGCCCCTCATTGGGTGCAGAGATTCCTTAAAAATAAAATCTTTATTTTATTTTTTATATTTTATTTAAATTCAAGTTAGTTAAAATATAGTATATTATTAGTTTCAGGGGTAGAATTTAGTGATTCATCAGTTGTGTACAACATCCAGTGCTCATTACATCAAATGCCTTCCTTAATACCCATCACCCAATTACTCGGTCCCCTCACCAACCTCCCCTCCAGCAACTCTGTTCCCTATAAGAGTATCTTATGGTTTGCTCCCTGTTTTTATCTTATTTTTTCCTTCCCTTTTCCTGTGTTCATCTGCTTTATTTCTTAAATTCTACATGAGTGAAATCATATGGTATTTGTCTTTCCTTGAGTTATTTCGCTTAGCATAATACACTCTAGTTCCATCCATGTCATTGCACATGGCAAGATTTCATTCTTTTTGAAGGCTGAGTAATATTCCAGTGTGTGTGTGTGTGTGTGTTTGTGTGTGTGTGTGTACACACTATATCTTTATCCACTCATCAGTTGATGAACATCTAAAAATAAAACCTTAGAAAAGAAAACAGTGTGCTGTTTTTAAAGCATATGTGCTATCATACTTGTTATAAAAATATATAAATATTAAAATAACCATATATAATTTTGATATATAAAAATATATAAAAATATAAACATTATCATACTTGTTATAAAAATTATTAATAGTAGACATGTTTATTTTTTGTAATTTTTAAAAGATTTTATTTATTTATTTGACAGAGAGCTAGAGAGCACACGTAGGCAGAGTGGCAGGCAGTGGGAAGAGAGAAGCAGGTTCTCCGCTGAGAGGGAGCCCGACGTGGGGCTCGATCCCAGGACCCCGAGATCATGACCTGAGCCGAAGGCAGATGCCTAGCTGACTGAGCCACCCAGGCGCCCCAGGAGTAGACATATGTTTGAATGAATTAATGTAAAATTTTTTTCTGTACTTAAAAGTAACCAGAATAAGAAAAAAACAAAAAGTTGAAAATATGGATCTAAGATTGATGCCTAATAACCTCAGGCGCAACCATTTTTTTAAAATTGGTCATTGAAAAAGTTTTTAAGTTTTCTCTTACACATCAGACTTTATGAATATGTTTGCATATATCTCTGTATATCTGTTTATATTTCAGTCAACATGAGAATGCCTGTTTCTTTGCAATTTCATCAATGCTAGGTATTTTCAATTTTTTAGATCTTTGCTTATGTGATATAATAAAATAGCATCTTGTGGTTTTATTTTACTTTTCTTTGATTACTAGTTATGTTCATTATTTTTTCATATGTTTGCTACAAGTTTTCATTTTTGTCAATTGTTCTTTATCCATTTTTCTTTTAGTATTTAACTGTCTTACTGATTTATAAGGCCTTTATTTGGTAATAAAAATATTATGGTATATTTACTTATGTTTCCTATTACTTTTATAGTCTCATTTTTTACATTAAATGCCTTAAAATATCTGGAATTAATTTCTATCCAAGGGATGAGTTAACTTTTACATAGTTAACCAAGTAATCCTAGCATTAATTAATTGAGTCATCTATCTTGAAAGAGCCTTGCCTTTTTTTTTTTTTTTTTAAGATTTTATTTATTTGACAGAGAGAGATCACAAGTAGGCAGAGAGAGAGAGAGAGGGAGGAGGAAGCAGGCTCCCCGCCCAGCAGAGAGCCCGATGCGGGACTCGATCCCAGGACCCTGAGATCATAACCTGAGCTGGAGGCAGAGGCTTAATCCACTGAGCCACCCAGGCAGCCCCAAGAGCCTTGCCTTTTTAAAAAATCAGAAAGCATCTCTTCTCTTTTCTCTGCTCCTGAATTTCTAGAGGGAAACAAATTTTGTTGTATAACTGAAAGCAGAGAAAAAAGAAACCAGAAGTTAGCAATTCTCAACAGGTTCAGAAATAACTGTATGACATCCTAGAATCTACCTTTTATAGTTCTATACTATATTCCTGCCCAGTGATACACAGATAAGTAGGTACTTTTGTGATTAGACCTGGGCTTTTATATCCCTTCAGTTTCTTGGCAGAGGTGAGACTAACAAGGCAGTTCTCTCAAGATAATTGGGCACAATCCTAGATACACTGGATTCATGAATTTGTGCATGTTTAAAGGGGGAATGGGCTTAGAGAAGCTAAGGATTTATTTCTACCTGACTGTATAGTATTCTAAGTGATTGGATCAGGTTTTAATTTTTGAAATAATTTTCCCTTTTAGGACAGAGGCATATATTTTCCCTCCTACTCCTGCTAAGTACCCTCCTGTACCTTCAAAGTATACCGTGGGTACTCAGACTGATTATCGGGATGCTGAAGTTCAGACTGATCCGTATTCTCCAGAATATGTAGTATGTCAGGATTCAATCCCTGAGCTCTTGACCCTGGCTACTCTTACGTGGGGTGAGTTGACAGTTGTCTTGATTATTTTTGAAGGCCTGTCCTGATAACTGTGCATGCTGTTGAGTTCCTGGAAATGATGTGCTCAGAGGCAACTGGCTCTGTTGCTGTTTAAAATGTCTTGCTCAGCAGAGCTACTTCACAGACTCATGCTTCTGTCGATACTTTTCTTCAAGGAGAGTATACCCTTTCCATTTTGAGGAGGCTTATTGTACTTTATCCTCGAAGCTGAAGTTCTATTTCCCCTTAATTTTGTGTTTATTTGCTGACTACTCACCTCCCCCCACCCCCAAACTGTTTTTCCTAATGAATCAATTCTTTTTCATTGAGCAATCCTCACTCCCTCTTTACATATAAACTTTTTTTGAGTGTATAATACTGAATGTATATTCCACCATATGTAACAGTATTATCTTACTTTGCCAAAATATCTTGCAGTTATCAAAGCTCTCTTATATACCCCTATTGGATGATTTGGGTGATTTCTTTTGCTGGTATCTCTAAAATGTCAGTATGGTTCAGGCTCAGAAATTCACTCTTAGAATGCAATAAAATCTGACCTAGGCCTATATTATGTGAAATTAGAAAAATTAATAAGGAAAGGGGCTTTTTAAAAAAAATTTATTTTATTTTTTCAGTGTTCCAAGATTCATGCACCACACCCAGTGCTCCATGCAATACGTGCCCTCCATAATACCCACCACCAGGCTTACCCATCTCCCTACCCCCACCCCTCCAAAACCCTCAGTTTGTTTCTCAGAGTCCACAGTTTCTTATGGTTTGTCTCCCCCTCCGATTTCCCCCAACTCACTTCTCCTTTCCTTCTCCCAATGTCCTCCGTGTTATTCCTTATGCTCCACAAGTAAGTGAAACCATATGATAATTGACTCTTTCTGCTTGACTTATTTCACTCAGCATAATCTCCTCCAGTCCCGTCCATGTTGATACAAAAGTTGGGTATTCATCCTTTCTGATGGAGGCACAATATTCCATTGTATATATGGACCATATCTTCTTTATCCATTCATCTGTTGAAGGGCATCTTGGCTCTTTCCACCATTTGGCTATTGTGGCCATTGCTGCTGTGAACACTGGGGTATAGATGACCCTTCTGTTCACTACATCTGTATCTTTGGGGTAAATACCCAGTAGTGCAATTGCAGGGTCATAGGGTAGCTCTATTTTTAATTTTTTTTTAAGATTTTATTTATTTATTTGACAGAGATCACAAGTAGGCAGGCAGAGAGAGAGAGAGAGAGAGGGGAGGAAGCAGGCTCCCCGAGGAGCAGAGAGCCCGATGCAGGGCTCAATCCCAGGACCCTGAGATCATGACCTGAGTCGAAAGCAGAGGCTTTAACTCACTGAGCCACCCAGGCGCCCGCCCTAGTCTATTTTTGATTTCTTATGGGATCTCCACACTGTTTTCCAAAGTGGCTGCACCAATTTGCATTCTCACTGGAACCCAGTGTAAGAGGGTTCCGGAAAGGGACTTTTGGAAATGACTAGACATTAGCTTCTTGAACTCACTTGATTGTAGCTGGGAAACTGAGAGCCAGAGAAGCCAGCTCCTCCTAGGTGTTAGAGATAGTTGGTATACTGTAATGATTTTTATTAAAATGAGTTACTTTTGTTTCCCAGTTGTGACAGTTTGCTCTGGTCAAGTCTGTGTCATAGACAGTAAAGATGTTCATATCTGAGACCTAATTTGGTTCTTGTTTCCTGGCTCACCTTACAAATTCAGAAGCATTCTTTACATCCATACTTGAAAGTAGAGGCTCTACTTTGAGATGAGATTTTCAGATGAGGTTTCAGACAGATTAAAAATATGCTGAAACTTTTCCCTTCTGCTCTGAATATGTATACATATTAGTGTATATATATATGAAAATATATATTGGTTATATGTTTATTAGTGTGTTTGTATACACATATATACTTTTTAAGAAAGGAAGAAAATTTTCATAGGTTAGACGTGTAGACTAACTAAAAGGAAGAAATAGGTGGGAGCATATGATGATGAGCAGGGACTGTGAATGGTGGGGAGCCAGATCTGAAATGCCTGCCTGAACTAGAAGAAGCAGGACTTTTCTCCTGCCCACAGGTGGGACTGAAGCCCAGTGCCTGCCAACACAGATGCTGAAGTATCAGTAAAAACCACTGAGTCAGGTCTACCCCCTTATTTGTAAGGCCCTTAGTAGGAGCTTAAATGGAGGCCTGCATACTATATGTATAGATGTTTTAAAATGATAAATCAAGTTAATATCTGTTAAGTAAAATATTTTAAGGAAAAAGATCTGTATTTTTCACAAATATATCTTTTTTTCTATTTAAAAAAAAAAATATTTATTTATTTTCAGAGCGAGAGAGAGAGCATGCGCAAGAAGGCAGAGTGGCAGGGAGAGGCAGAGAGAGAAGCAGGCTCCCCGCTGAGCAAGGAGCCCGATACAGGACTCGATCTCAGGACCCTAGGATCATGACCTGAGCCGAAGGCAGACGCTTAACCCACTGAGCCACCCAGGCGTCCCTACAAATATATCTTTATAAAAAGTTGAAAGGACAAGTTTAAATGGAAAATTCTTAGGTTCCTTGGGATTCTTTGGTTGAATGGGGCAGCAAGAAAAGAGGCTGCCTGTGACTTACTTTTTTCTCTGGCTCTGTTCCACATCATGAGGGGCCTGTCATGTATGCATGTGATTACTTCACTTTGTTTTTCCAATCTCTGCATTCATATCCCTGTAAACAGCTGCCACGTGGCTACTCCTTGGGTTTAAGGATGAATAAACAGGGGCACCTGGGTGGCTCAGTTGGTTAAACATCTTCTTTCAGCTCAGATCATGATCCCAGGGTCCTGGGATCAAGCCCAACATTGGGCTTGCTTGGTGAAGAGCCTGCTTCTCCCTCTCCCTCTGCTGCTCCTTGTGCTTGTGATTTTTTTCTGTCTCTCTGTTAGATGAATAAAATCTTAAGAAAAAGTGGGGGGGAGTGGACAAACAGCAGCATATAGTCTGCCCAGGGGAGTCTGAATTCTAGGAAGAGGTCCATGTAGATACTGCAAGGAGGCTTGGGCCATTTGTTCAAGGAATTCCAAGGTCTCTAAGAGTAGAGTAGGTTCAGCTGGGCATAGTCTGTTGAACTCCTCATCTTATGATAATGGGCAGGGCTCTAAAGAATGAGGCTGGAGAGCTATCCCTTTTGCCAGGTCATAGAGTATTACTACCCATGGTGCTCATGAGAGAACTCTACAGATGATCTCAACCCAAGAATCACAAAACATCTAAAGAACACAGGTACCAGGAGTGATCCACAAAAAGTTAAAAAAGAGAGAGAGAGAGAGAGAGAATAAATTCCTGAGCAAACAGAACAAATGGAGCAATCTGAAAAGGACTTGGGGAATACTTTTTATATCCTCAAAGAGACAAAGAGGGATAAAGCATGAAAACGAGAGTGGGAGCTATGAAAAAGAACCAGTTGCAATCACTGGGAAGGAAAACTATGAAGTTTGAAATAAAATGAGCTCAGTAGTAAACTAGGCAGTGCTGAAGAACAAATTAGTGAAATGAAAGAGTAAATGAACAAATATTCCAGAATGCAATATTCAAAGGTAGAATAAGGTTAAAAAGGAAAAAAAGGTAAGAGCCATGGGGGATAGGATTATAAGATCCTATAATAGAATGGTGGAGAAGCAATGCAAGAAAAGATAATGGCTGAGAAAGATAAATGGCTGAGAATTTCCCAGGACTAAAGAAAGATATGAATCATGTACTGTTGGATCCTATTGGCTAGTATTTGGTGAGAATTTTTGCATCTGTGTTCATCAAGGATATTGGTCTGTAATTCTCTTTTTTGATGGGGTCTTTGTCTGGTTTTGGTATCAAGGTAATGCTGGCCTCATATAATGAGTTTGGAAGTTTTCCTTCCATTTCTATTTTTTGGAAGAGTTTCAGGAGGATGGGTATTAATTCTTCTTTAAATGTTTGGTAGAATTCCCCTGGGAAGCTGTCTGTTCCTGGGCTCTTGTTTTTTGGGAGATTTTTGATGACTGCTCCAATCTCCTTACTGGTTATGGGTCTGTTCAGGTTTTCTATTTCTTCTTGGTCCAGTTTTGGTAGTTTATATGTTTCTAGAAATGCATCCATTTCTTCCAGATTGTCAAATTTGCTGGAGTATAGTTGCTTATAATATATTCTTATAATTGTTTGTATTTCTTTGGTGTTGGTTGTGATCTCTCCTCTTTCGTTCATGATTTTATTTATTTGGCTCTTTTCTCTTTTCTTTTTCATAAGTCTGGCCAGGGGTTTATCAATCTTATTAATTCTTTCAAAGAACTAGCTCCTAGTTTCGTTGATCCGTTCTACTACTCTTTTGGTTTCTATTTCATTGATTTCTGCTCTGATCTTTATGATTTCTCTTCTCCTGCTGGGTTTAGGTTTTCTTTGCTGTTTTTTCTCCAGCTCCTTTAGGTGAAGTTAGGTTGTGTACTTGAGACTTTTCTTCTTTCTTGAGAAAGGCTTGTATCGCTATATACTTTCCTCTCAGGACCACATTTGCTGTGTCCCACAGATTTTGAACAGTTGTGTTTTCATTATCATTTGTTTCCATGAATTTTTTCAATTTTCAATTCTTCTTTAATTTCCTGATTGACCCATTCATTCTTTAGTAGGATGCTCTTTAGCCTCCATATATTTGAGTTCTTTTCAACTTCCCTCTTGTGATTGAGTTATAGCTTCAGAGCATTGTGGTCTGAAAATATGCAGGGAATGATCCCAATCTTTTGGTACCAGTTGAGACCTGATTTGTGACCCAGGATGTGATCTATTCTGGAGAATGTTCCATGTGGACTAGAGAAGAATGTGTATTCTGTTGCTTTGGGATGGAATGTTCTGTATATATCTGTGATGTCCATCTGGTCCAGTGTGTCATTTAAGGCCTTTATTTCCTTGTTGATCTTTTGCTTGGATGATCTGTCCATTTCAGTGAGGGGGGTGTTATAGTCCTCTATTGTA